TTGGGTCTCGTTCACTGTCATTCTGAGGATCCCTTTTCTCTCTTGAATTAGAATCCCTATTCCCAATCCTAGGTTTTCTCTATTAATGTTTTATTCTCTCATTTTTGTAGCACAAATTCTCCGTAGCTCCCTGATAAGGAGGACATGGTAAATAAATTGTGGAGTCGTTGTGTGTCTACATTTGTCACCTTCACACTTGATTTTTTTGTTATGTTTAGGTTCTAGATTGGAAATAATTTTCCTTCAGATGCATTGCTTCATTATCTTCTACTTTCCAGTCTTGTGTTTGGGAGTTCCCAAACCATTCTCATTCCTAATATTTTGTAAAGTGACTTTTTTTTTTTTTTTTTCCTTTCCTTTCTTACTCCCTGGAAGTTTGCAGAATCCTCTCTTTCTCTGCAATTATTGTGAAATATTTATGTGGTGTAAGTTTATTTCTAGCCATTGTACTGGGGCAATTGATAGGTCCTTAGAAGGTTGTATAGTTCAGTTCTCAGATTTTGTGTTTTTTTTCTGTGAATTATTTAATTGAGAATTTTCTTTGTATTTTGGTTTTTTTTGTTTGTTTGTTTTGTTTTTTGATAGGTGAGGTGCAGAGGCTCCTCTTACTGAGAGATTGAGATTCCTGGACTGTGCTTCTGACTTTCTTATCAATTTTCTATTTCTTTTTCTTTCTACTCTGCTTTTTAGGAAATCTTTAAATTTAACATCTGAAAAAATCTATTAAAGTTTTTTTTTTGTTTGTTTTAGTGGGCTTTTTTTCTCTGAATATTGCTTTGTTATAGCATTTGTTCCTGCTTCATGGATGAAACAGATTCCTTACTGCTCTGAGAATGTTGACAGTATTTTTTAAATGTTTACTTTTCCTTGAATAATTTGATTTTCTCCAAATTCTTTTTACTTTTTTTTTCTGACATTACATTTTGTGGTACAGGTTTTTCTCAGATTATCTGCTCAGATTTAAGAAGAAGTGATTAAGAAGCTGATTGGAAATTCTAAATGTGAGTGTGAAGCCATGATGCTCATTCAACTTGTGCTTTTCTGTTGGATGATGTGGCTGCACAATTTTCTAAAGAGCTTCTGATAGTAAGATTGTCATATCTTTCTTCTTAAACTGGCCAGATTTTCCACAGAAGATTCTTTCATTCTCTTCTGTGGAGGGTAAATGTCTGACTGCCCTCATCCTTGGAGCTGAGTGAAGAGATTGTTCAGTACTGGAAGAGTGGGCTTGGAACAAAGCATGTAACTTTTTTATATAGCTGTCATTCTGTCTTGTTTATTTTACCATTCTTCCCATATCCTCGGTTTTGAGATACCTGACTGCATGTGCCAGGATAGATTAGTGATATTGGTAATAAGCAAATCCAAATTATCTCTGCCTTAAAAGAACAAAGTTGTGTGATATGCCATCCATCAAGGGACCCAAGCTAAGGGAGCCTCTGTCTCTGGGCTTTCATGTTTGCCAAGGCAGAAGAAAAGGGAAGTTTGTAAAATATACCCCACCTCTTAAAACATCCACCACAAGTAGCACTGACTACATCTTCTTGGTCAAAGTAAATCACATGGCCGCTCCTTACTTCAGAGGTGTAGAAATGTACAATCTTGTAATATACCGAGAGGAGAACCCATTAATGGTGGGCAAACAGCACTAATGACTCTTTATCTTGGTGCTGATAATTCCTGGGTCTTTTCAGCATCCTGAACTACAAATTGGTTTGTTCTCCAGTTCTCTGCTGCCGGTTTAGGATTTGTCTTTTTAGGTGTGCTAAGTCTGTTACCACTTGTCCATGTTGGCATTACCATTGTCTTTTCTCCTGCTCTTGCAGTTACTTGGGATTATGTATTAAACATTATTTTAATTTTCTTTTGTTTTCTTTTTTTTTTTTTTGAGTCTTGCTCTCTTGCCCGGGCTGGAGTGCAGTGGCATGATCTCGGCTGACTGCAACCTCTGCCTGCCAGGTTCAAGCAAGTCTCCTGCCTCATATTTCCGAGTAGCTGGAATTACAGGCGCCCGCCACCACGCCTGGCTAATTTTTGTATTTTTAGTAGAGATGGGGTTTCGCCATGTTGGCCAGGCTGGTCTCGAACTCCTGACCTCAGGTGATCCACCCGCCTCGGCCTCCTAAAGTGTTGGGATTACAGGCGTGAGCCACCATGCCCAGCCAAAACTTTGGTTTTACTTTTATACAAGCTGAATAAGCAAACTCTGCAACTTTGCAAATATGTTCAAAGAATGTGATACTTTATAAAATACATTGTATTACAATTGTGCACTGATGTGAACAACACTGTGATTTTTCCAATTATTTCTCTGTATGTTGAATTTTAAAAGTGGCTTCTAAGTAAAAACATAGCAACAAATAGTCATTTGTTGAGTCTTGAAAAACCTAGTTTGTTAAATTTCCCAGAGCTTTATTGCTTACATGACAAATCCTTTTGCAAGTCAGAAAGCTTCGGATTCTTTGCTTTTATCAGTGTTAGAATAATGGCAAGTGAGTTGTTTTGCCAGTTATCCACTGCTACAAAAAAGGAGCACACATTTCAATGACCAAACTTCATTTTATTTATTTCACTTGTGTTTTTGCTTCTGAGTCTGTATCTGGTGTGGCTCAGCTCATCTAGGCCGGGCTTGCTCTTGTCCCTTTGGTCAGCTGTGGAAAGCCAGATAGTCATACTTCTGGAGGTGGGCCAGCTGCCAGCGGGGGTGTCTCAGCTGTCCTCTGTGTGGTCTCTTATTTATTAATATGCTTTCCTGGACTTGTTCTCATGGTGACAACAAAGTTCCAAGAGAAAAAGCAAAACCTTTTAAGTCTTAGACTTAGATTGTCACACACCACACAATCACTTTTGCTGCATTTTGTTTGCCAGTATAACTCACAAGGACAGCCCAGATTCGAGGGGTGGTAAGATAGAATCTTGATTGGAAAACTCACAGTTTCAAATTGCAGAGGATGTGGATACAGGGGGAAGGGAAAACTAGCACTGTTTTTGCAGACTCTGTATTCCAGAGTTTTCAAGTGATCATTAAAAATAATGTTTGATGATAAAAATATAAAATGGGTATACAGCTCAGAAAGAATTTCAAGAATTGAGTGACCTTGTAGAACTAAGCTCCTTTAGTCCCTTACTATAAACAAATTTTCCCGGTTCTTACATGTAAGCAAACAGTTTTTAACTAGTACCCAAAAACACCCATTCAAAAATAGCCCTTCTATATTACTGAGAAATGATTTCCAATACAACCTTTACATTTTATAATCAATACTTACTTATAAAATGAAACATATTATTTAAATGTATAAGACATTTCAAAAAATCTTTTAACATTTAGCACTTTACATATTACACAAAAGAATAAAATGATGAAAAATAAAAAATAAAGTATCAAACATAAGAATATATTCCATTAAAGTAAATTTACACGTGGAGATAGTGAAATTAATGTTAAGTTCAAGCAAAAAGAAACTATGGAATTTATAATGATTAAAAGAAAGCTTTTTAACATGTTTTTAGATTGGATATTGGTGTATGACAAATCACTATTCCATTGGATGTAATTAAAAGAATGATGTAACTCTTTTCTTTCAAAATGGCATTACTTATGACACTATATACATCCTTTCCAATTATACTTAGCATGAAAAGTTTTAGATGTCAATGGAAATGTCGGGAAGATTACAGAGTTAAAAAATATATACATAAATGTGTGTATGTGCATATGTTAGGGACATGAGGAAAAAACTACTTTAAGGTGATGGTTTTGTGACCCACAGGACTCCATCACCCCGACCTCTATTCACCTTTCATCTGGTGACTTCTAGAGCCCTCCATTCAGATATCACTCTTAAGAAACTAAATATTTTCTTATTTTCTTAAAATAAAGAAAAAAATTCTTTAAATCGTTTTTTTTTTTTTTTTCTGAGTAGATGAGTGATTATTTTTCATTATAAAGGATAAATTATACAAGCCATTACTCACAAGGACAGCGCAGATTTGAGGGGTGGTAAGATAGACTCTTGATTGGAAAATTCACAGTTTCAAATTGCAGAGGATGTGGATACAGGGGAAAGAGAAAACTAGGGCTGTTTTTGTAGACTCTGTATTCCAGAGTTTTCAAGTGATCGTTAAAAATAATGTTTGATGGTAAAAATATAAAATGGGTATACAGCTCAGAAGGAATTTAAAGAACTGAGTGACCTTGCAGAACTAAGCTGCTTTTTTATTTGACTCTGTCATTGGAACTGTAGCACCTTTAGTCCTGAATGAGTATTCCACCAATAGGTATTACAGAGATCTCTTGATTTCTTGAGGTCTGCTGTCCTGCTGTCCAGTAAAGTAGAGTAAGACATATGTGGCTGGCCCAGATTGAGATGTCAGTGCAAAATCCGTTGAATTATGAAGACGTACCACAGAAAAAGAATGTACATGTAAAATAGCTCATTTTTTGATATTTTGGATATATTGGGTTTAACAAAATATTAAAATTAATTTCATTTGTTTTGTTTTACTTTTCTAGTGTGGCAACTGAAATGTCTAAAATTACATATGGGTGTTGCATTCTGATTTCTACTGGACAGTACAGACCTAGCCCCAAAATCAGAAGATCTAGAGCAAACTGGGAGTCCTTTCTCCCATTTGCCCAAGGGTTATCTTTTCAGTTCCAATTTCCTCCTTAAACCATTCTCTGTTCCACAAAGTGAAAAAACACAGGATGTCTTTTTTAAGTGAAACTTTCTCCCATACCTTGCAGGGCTTAACAGGGTCAAGCTATCAGATCAAATCATTATCCAAGAGATACTCAGAAAATAAAAAACAATGGAGAACAGCAATTTCTTCACACCAAAGGTGCCTACTGTATGCAGTTATTAGAGGGAGGCTGGAAGATGACCAGAGAAAGAGGTTCTGGAAAAGACGGGGTGCCCTGCGGAGAAGGTGGGTTCTTTCGAGGCCTTTATTGTAAAATGACTCATCTGCCCTTTCTTTCTTTTTGATTATTCCAGAACGCTGCGATGACTGGGGACTAGATACCATGAGGCAAATCCAAGTATTTGAAGATGAGCCAGCTCGCATCAAGTGTCCGCTCTTTGAACACTTCTTGAAATTTAACTACAGCACAGCCCATTCAGCTGGCCTTACTCTGATCTGGTACTGGACTAGGCAGGACCGGGACCTTGAGGAGCCGATTAACTTCCGCCTCCCTGAGAACCGCATTAGTAAGGAGAAAGATGTGCTGTGGTTCCGGCCCACTCTCCTCAATGACACTGGCAACTATACCTGCATGTTAAGGTAGCTTGATTCTTGGCAGTGACTTTCTCTTTTCCCTTTAGTTTCTGGGCTTTTGTCCAGATGCTCCATGTGCTAGGAAGCTGGGGAGAAGTCGGAAGCATTTAGATAGAGTTTAGTGAGGTAATTCTCTGCAGCTTAGCTGAAGGGGGCTGAAGGAGGTATGCAGAGAAATTGGTTGTGGCCCTTAGAATGTTCTCCAGAGGTAATTTCTTCCCAGACCCTGAGACATATCAAAGTTGTGTAAAAGTGGAGCCTTGTTATTAATCCCTTCTCGTGACCTGCGTGCCTTTATGCCTCACCTGGAGACATCCATTTATCCAGACATTGAACAGGGAAGGGAATAGAGCCCATTTGTATCTGTTATTCTTGGCATCTTTCAAAGTACCCGGCACAGAAAAGAAACTCAGGGTGCATTGTGTGATGCACAATGCCTCCCAAATATGTGTGATGCGATGCCTCCCAAATATTATTTTACTTTTTTAGTGTGGCAACCGAAATGTCTACAATTACATATGTGGTTCACAGTATCATTTCTGTTGGACACTGCAGATCTAACCCCCAAATCAGAAGACCTAGAGTGAACTGAGGGTCCTCTCCCATTTGCCCCAGGTTTGCCTTTTCAGTTACAATTCCCTCCTTAGAATTTTCTCTGTCATAATATTCTCCCAAATGTTCTTTTGGGAGCCATGACATGTATGTATGACAATGCTTTTTAAACTTCTCCCAAATTTCTCCTGAGAAGCAAGAGAATACCATTATCTCTGGCAATCTAAGGATTTAATCCAAACAATTTATCATTACAGTAAAATTTCTTTCCAATCCACTTTTTTTCCTTTGAAAGTTTTGTAAATTTTATATTTTACTCTACAGTATTCCTTTTTTTTTTTTTTTTTTTTTTGCATTAATGTTGTTTTTTGGGGAAAAAAAAAACTGAGGCTTCTCGACAGAATAGAATAGCCCTTTTCAGGGTTAATTATTTGGTTACTTTTTACCAACGGTCACTTTTTAGGTGCCAGGCATGGCCTTGTTTTCTAAACTCCCATCTAGGTTAATTTTTTTTTTTTCTTTGAACGACTTCCTACTATTTAACAGATGTGTTGCTTTGCTAGGACTGCAATGACAAAATACCACAGACTGGGTGACTTTAACAAACAAAATTACCTTCTCACAGTTCTGGAGGCTAGAAATCCAAGATCAAGGTGTGGGCAGGGTTGATTTCATTCTTGGTGCCTCTCTCCTTGTCTTGTAAATGGCCATCTTCTCTCCTTGTCTTTACATGGTCTTTCCTCTGTGTGTTTGTGTCTTAATCTCTTCTTCTGATAAGGATGCTAATAGTATGGGATTAGAGACCATCCTTGTGACTTCATTTTAGCTCAATTATGTCTTCAAATTTTCTGTTTTCAAATACAGTCACATTCTAATGTACTGTGAGGTAGGACTTTAGCATGTAAATTGGGGTGGGGTGACACAGTTCAGTCCGTAACAATAAATAATCACAAATGTTTTTTCTCTCATGGAGAGTCTCTACTCCCTGATGGAAAACTAGGACTATACTTTGGTAAATGTAAGCTGTGTTATGATTATGTGAAAAAATACCTCTTTTCTATCACAGAAAAGCCTTTAGATCACTGTGTTCTTGGGAGTTGGAGGTAAGGGAGAATCCCTGTAACCTCTGAAGGCCCTTCTGAGGTTTTCACTGGAAACTTGAACCTTATTGGAGTGGGCTTTAGACTGGTATATGGGTTTCCAAGGATCCTGAAGTACTCATGTTCTCATTATTTATGTTCTAATACAATGTAGTAGACGTTAAAGCAGATTATAGTGGAAAGAGCATTAGGAGAAGACAGAGAAACTAGGCCATCACTTCCACTCTGCCACTACTTAGCTGGTGACCTTAGGCAAGTCCTGTCCATGTCTGAGAGCTGTGGTATCTACATCTACATAGGAAGAGAGTTGGCATACATGCTTGTTGAGCTCCTTTTTATCTTTGATAACTGTTCATCTGTTAACATTTTCCAGTGGGAGGAAGTCTTCGGGAGCTTTCTGTTTAACTATGGTCTCCACTGTGTATCTTAGTGTTTCAGTATCAGTTTTACTTTTTCCTTAATTACTTACTACTTGCCTGTAGCTCTTCCACAAACTTGTCTAATCTTCTTTTACATTGTAGGAGTAGGGCTGCATGACGGTTAAGACCTGCATATACCTTTAGTGTTATTTATCAACTTCCAGATTGTCACCTCTTCAGTTTACTTCTCTATCTTCCATGTTCTTAAAGCAGATCTAGAATTGAAGTTGTCTGGTGGGAGCACTACCATGTTTCCTATTTTACTGAGGAAATGTATAAGCTGAGAATGACCTTAAACTGAAGCATGTAGAACCATAGGGCAATAAAGTTAGTTTCATCTTTGAGTATTTTCTTTATATTCTTGCCCCAATACTGTTCAACTTTGGAAACTAAAAAGTCAGTCCAATCACTGTTCTTCATATTTTTTTAAATCAGAAAATAGATCCTTAAACTTAAATTTCCCTTCTATAACTTCCACCTATAGAGTCTGTCTTCCAAGGGGCAGATGTTTTGTTATTTGTAGGTATGGATCATGCCTACCACTCCCTCTTACCCCCTTCTGAGTATTGTCACAAGTCATCTTTAACACCCCTCCCTCCATCTTTGAGAATGCATACCCCACCCTTTCCACTAAATTTAGTCTTTATTCATAAGTCATTTTGGTACCCAATAAGCCAAATATGTGAGATGTGATGCCTCACAAATATTATTTATACGAAAATCACAAAAATGGCTAGACATAGACTCCTTATCCCATCACCCTAAAAAATTAGTTGATTTATTCTTCTATGTTATTTTTCATGTTTACCTATATTTAGACACAAGTTTTACATCCATTCCATTTACTTAATAACAAATATTTGTTCAGCAGTTACTGAAAGTTAAGACACTGTACTAGATGCAATTAATGTCATAAAAAACATAAATAGTGTTGTGGGACTTATATTTTACAGAGGATATTGACACATATCTATAACATAACCATCTAATTTTGAACTATAACAAATTTAACCAAGGAAATGTCCAAGGTGCTCAATAAACGACAGACCAAATTTAGATATGAGGTGGGAGAAGATAACAGAGAAGGCCTGTATGTGAAATGAAGGGGGTGGGAGAAGTAAGCCCTCCAAGCAGACAAAACAATGTACATGAACATTATAGCACAAATGCAATTCCCCAGTCGTCCTAAGGAATTGTTATGTGTTTGTTTTTTTTTCCTTCATGCCTGATTCTTTGTATACGTTCTCATAACAACTTTGAAGGGTTATACCACAGTTTTCTTTATAATATTCCATCTGTCACATTTTTTTCTATTGATTTTAATGTTTTTCTTGCTAATATGGCTCTGGATGGGCATTTTTAACTACGTGCTGTCTCTATTCCCCCTTTTCTATCATTCTATCATGTGACAAAATATCCAGACATAGGATTACTAGGGCAAAAACAAAGGCTTTTTTATGATCCTGGAAGTGTAGTTTTTCCCATAGTTGCTTATACCATTATTGACTCTGCATAAATACGCCATTCATGCCTCTGCCTTACCAGCACTGAGTATTATTGAGAATGTTTTTAGTGTTACATATATGCACAGTTATATTTTGCTATGTTGAACAGCAGAACCGGGGATATGTTCTGAGAATTGTTTTGTTAGGTAACTTTAGTCATTGTGTGACCATCATAGAGTGTAGTTACATGAACCTGGATGGGAGAGCCTACTACACACCTAGGCTATGTGGTATAGTCTGTTACTTCTAGGTTACCAACCTGTATAGCAGGTTGTGGTACTGAATACTATAGGCAATTATAACACACTGATAAGGATTTGTGTACTTAAGCTATCTAAATATAGAAAAGACACAGTTAAAATATAATATAAAAGATGAAAGAAATAGTACACCTGTGTAGGGCACTTATCATGAATAGAGCTTGTAGGACTGGAAGTTGCTCTGGGAGAGTGAGTGAGTAGTGAGTGAATGTGAAAGCCTAGGACATTACTATACACTTTTATTTGTCTGACAGTGCATAGGTTTGTTTATACCAGCATCACGCAAAACATGAGTAATATGTTGCCCTATGACATTACAATGACAATGACATCAATAAATAATAGAAATTCTTGAGCTCCATTATAATTTTATGAAACCACCATCACATGTGTGATCCACCGTTAACTGAAATGTCATCATGTGACACGTGACTATTTATATACACTGACAAACACACATTTAGGACCACATCTGAAAGTATAAATACTTTGGTACATTAATAGTAATTAATTAATTGTGCTTTTTTAAAATTCTGTGATGCCAATTGGTATAGGAAATGCCTCCACTATGATTTTATCTCTTACGTGAACTTACATATATAAATGATGTCTCAGTATGTAGCATGGCTTCACTTAGTTCATTTGAATGCTCTATGAAATCGAATGCAAATACTACCCATTCATTGTATGTTTCTTTTTTCAGGAACACCACATATTGCAGCAAAGTTGCATTTCCCTTGGAAGTTGTTCAAAAAGACAGCTGTTTCAATTCCCCCATGAAACTCCCAGTGCATAAATTGTATATAGAATATGGCATTCAGAGGATCACTTGTCCAAATGTAGATGGATATTTTCCTTCCAGTGTCAAACCGACCATCACTTGGTATATGGTAAGGAAAATTAGACTACATTTTATTCTCTCTAATAACTTATAAAATGATAATACTTATTTGCTGAGTTACATGTATAAGCAAAGGTATTTCTCTTCAGATTATCTGATTTATTCCATAATAACTTTATGGAAATATTTCACCACGTCCTCATTTTGTACCATTTTAAAGGAAGTGGTGCACAGTACTTTGTCTCAGCTCACTATTTCTGAAATAACTCTAACTAGAATACCAAAACTACCTCATTTCTGTTAACTTCATGTGAAATGCATTTTAAGAAATGCCGCCCACTTCTAGTTCCTGCTTAGTGAAGTCATAAGCTGTTAATTCATGTGGTGAAATCCAATTCCTTGATTAATCAGTACTGCATTTTATTATTTCTGTGTGTTTTTTTCTTTGCCCTCATTTGTGAGCACTGTCCATCTATGGTCTCTTCCACATCTGAGGGATTTGGAAAATGTTTTGTCAAAATATAAAAGTGTTGGAAGGTAGCGCTTGTAGCAGCAACATAGCCTTCGTATTGCTTCAAGTCTCCACATACACTAAAGCCAAAACCCCATGGACAGAATTTACAGCATAACTCAGTGACAGGTTATCCACAAGAACCACTTTTGATAAAGCCACCAACAGCCTAAGCCCATATGGGATCAGTGTTTGTGCGGAAGGAAGCAGATGGAAGTAATGTGGTGTCTGTCAGACTTGACAACAGGAGAACACCAAAAGAGCCAACAGGTGCTCACTGGAAAGTGTGATGAACCAACTTGAGAACAGGAGCTAAAATTGGGAGAGGTTTTGCTCTCTAATAGAGGACCGTGCAAGAGACCTATAACAAGAAGCTCTGAAGGGGTGGAAGAAGTTGTAGTTCCTCACAACTCTGAAATATGACCCGCCACGTTGAGGAGAAGCTACTGAGAGTAGAATCAAAAGTAAACCGGATGAGGACAATATATAGGAAGGAAAAAGAAGGACTGGCTAAAAATGGAGCAGGAGAACGAAGCCAGGACATCTTAAGACCAAGACACCATCGTTTTGAAAAGATAGCTTGCTAAAGTTAGAAAATCCTTTTATATTTTAAAATTTAGAAAAAAACTACTATTTCCTAAGTGAGCTAAATGACATTTTAAAATGATACAAGATGTGAACGAATAATAAGAATTAGAGACATCTAAAAATTATATATATTATGTAACTCCATACAAACTTAGAAAATAAATCATTTTAGAAATGAAGCTAATCTAAGAGAAAGATCACAGAAAAAAAAAAAAGACAATAGATAATGCCTTAAGATCAATAGAAGGTGAAAGGGAGAAAAAATTAAAATAAAAAAATGACAAATACAATAAGTAAATTAGAATGGCCGTAAGAATATCAGATAAAGTAGACAGGATTACCAGAGATAAAGATGACATTTCATAATAATAAAAGGATCACTTTATCAGGGAAACATAAAAATAACAAAAACTCATGTGCTTAATAACAATGCTTGAAAAATATGCAGCAAAAGTTGGCAGAACTCCGGAGAGAAATAAAAAATCCTACAAACACAGTTTGTTATAAATTTCAAAAGCTGAAAATTTTAAATTCTGTCTCTGCTTAAGTTGCTAATGATACAATTTGGGAGTCAACTTGAAGAGTCTTCTGTTGGCCAAAGATGAACAATTTTAACCAAAATAATTTGAACCTAATTTTAATGGTTTAAATCCTATGAAGTCAGTTTAAATTTATAAGTTTATAATGACATTTCACAAAATTTAATGAGTTACATTTGGATGATGAAAGGAAATCAGTTTATTATCTTAAAAACTGGTAAAGGCAAATAATCAAGTATTCATTCTGGTTTTCCTAGAGGACATGTAACATTGGGTAATGAAGTATTGTAGAGAGGTGCGTTTTGTAAAGTGTTTCTAATAATAAATGAAATTTTAATGATACAATTAGAATTATCATCACCTTGCAACTCTCAATAGATTAATAAATGTAGGCATCTAAGCATCAATGACTGCTAACATCACAAGACGAAAAACCATCAGACATGTTTCTTCTGATAAAAGAAGAAAATATTACGTATTGATTCATATTACCAACTAATTAAACCTGAGTCCAGTTAAGCCTTTGGATCCCACTATCATTTTGCAGGAGATATATAAATAACCTAGAAATACATTGACCTGCAGCATGAATATATCATCAATAAAATCCAGACTATGTGAAACTCTATGGGCCAGATGTGCTGGGTTTTTCAAAAGATAAATTGTAAGAAAAGAAATGTCATGAAGAGGGACTGTACAGATTAAAAGAAACATATAAAGCATTTAAAAAGTAGATAGCACTGTAGCATCTAACCATGCACATATAGGTGAAAAGTATATAAATAAAAACAAGGAAGTGATTTAACTATAAAAGTATAGATAGTGACTACTTTGGAGGGTAGTAACGGAGGTGTGATTGACGTGGGCCATGAAGAAGGCCTTCAAGAGGGACTGGCAAAGTTCCTGGACCTGAGTGAAGCAAAGGCCTTTGCTTTATAACAACTCATTAACTCTTAGATGTGTTTTGCATTTTTTTTTTTGTATATGCTTTATTTTACAATAAAATGACTAAGAGGGATGGAGGGAGGCAGGGAAGGAAGGTAGAAAAGGAGTGAGGAAGAGAAAGAGATGCAGAGACTGATTTAAGAGATTTAACAACCAACTGCAATGAATCAATTTTAGCTGGATCTTTTTCATTTGGAAAAAACTAAAGCAAATTATGAAAAGATCAGGGAATTTTGAACATGCAATACTAACGTTACTAATAAATTATTACTTTTTAAACATGATAATGGTACTGTAGTTATGCTTGCAGAAAGAGTCTTATTTTTTGGAGATACTCAAATATTGTTTAGAAATAAAATTATATGATGTCTGTGATTTGCTTCAAAATAATCTTGGGTTGCAGTGAATAGCTGTACATGAAATAAGACATAGTCTCAATTAATACTTATTGAGGCTAGTAAAGATACAGGAACTCATTGTTCTCTCTCTGATTGCAATTTTTCATAGTAAAAAAACCTAAAAGATGGTTTAAAAATAATATTAACAGTTTTACATCAATAAGTGTAATATACCTTCCAGTTAAAAAACATATGTTTATTTACCCTGCAGTCAAGGTTTTAATCTTGAACCTTATTTGATTTATTAGTTTAATTCCCATACACATCCTGCCATTTTCTCCTCTCTTTTTTCCTCATGCATTTCCTCTGCCCGGAACATCCTTCTCCCTTTAGAACAGACTAAATTGTACCATCTTTATTAATTGTTCCTTATTCCCTCCAGCTGGAAATTATAGCTCTCTCATGTATTCCTGTTTATTTATACCTGTTTCAATATTATTTTTCACTTCTTTACTTTTTTTAGTCATTCATTCATGACTACAGATAGTCCTCAATTTACGATGGTTTGACTTAAGATTTTTCAACTTGATCATGTTATTGGGATAAAACCTCATGGTATGTCAAGTAGCTTCTTATGATTTGTGATGGGGCTACGGTTTTACTGAATTTTTATCACTTTCACATTATCATAAAGTCAAAAAATCATAAATAAAACCATCATAAGTTGGGGACCATCTGCTGTGTTGCTAGCATTAAATGTATTTTTGACTTAACCACATTTTTGACTTATGATTGGTTTACTGGTATGTAACTTTCATCATAAGTTGAGGAACACCTGTATACTAGCTGAAGATTAGCTGTGATCAATGCAACGTGCCGGGGCGGGGGAGGAGGGAACACCATAATGAATAAAATATATGCCCAGAGCTGTGTAGTCCCAAATAACCTCATAATTTAATAAAAATAAGTTTGTAAATACGAAGAATTTCTATTCTTATCAAAATGTAAACTTCTAAGTTTTGTAAGAGTGACAAGGAGAAATTATTGTTGGTTTTAAGGAGAGAAAGATATGTATCCTAGAAGACAGCCTATTTCTTGAGGGCAAAGCTATGTAATGTCTTACTCTGAGTCTCTAGTGATTTCCAGATTTCTGGTTTTCATGAAAGGATGGCATGGTGCTATTAACCAAGGTATGAAGTAACAGAGGAGAAGCAGGTTTCGGGAGTAAGTAATGGGTTAGGTAATGCCGTGTTAAGTTAGTTGCTGATGTCTCTGAGACATCTAGCTGGCGGGTGGCAGTGACTAGCAGGTAGTGGTTACATGATTATGAGTCTGGAGCTTAGCAGAAAAATCAGAGCTAAAGACAGAATTGGGTGCATTCATGTGATAGTTGAAGCACTTGAGAAGACTAAATAAAGTGAGAAGAGAACTGAGCTAATGCCATACTCTGGAGATACTATTCATGGGTAAATGGAGACATAAATTCTGAGAAGGAGACAGAAAAAGTCACAGCTGTAAAACAATTACCATGGCCAATATCCAACCATGTGCAGGTGACTAAAATAGACAAAAAACCTGGCCAATATGGTGAAACCCCATCGCTACTAAAAATACATAAACTAGCCGGGCGTGGTGGCACACACCTGTAGTCCCAGCTGCTTGGGGGTCTGAGGCATGAGAATACTTGAACCCAGGAGGCGGAGGTTGCAGTGAGCCGAGATCATGCCACTGCACTCCAGCCTGTGCAATGGAGGAAGACTCCATTTCAAAAAAAAAAAAAAAAGACAACCACTGATCATGTTTTCTCTTATTTGATTAAGAAAAGATTACTAATAATTTCTAACATATTGCTTCCTGTTTCTCTACCTTTGGGTAATCACCTGACACCTTTAATCCTAACACTTCTGCCATCTTGGAAACAAAACAAAGGTTCTTGGTCACTGCATCCTCCTGTCTCTGTACAGCAGTGCTAACTTTGCCTTCTATTTTGTACCTTTTACAGTTATCCCCAAGCATCTACCCAGATGCCTTGGCCCTTCTTCAGCAATTCTTTTTTAGTTGTTATCAACAGAGGTTCCTACATCTGTTGATTCCTACTTCTATGGGTCTATCTATTAATCCTCATAGA